GAGCGAGCATTGAAGGGCAGGCCATCGACCCTCAGCCCCTCTGAACGAGAGCCCCTCACCGTCTCGACAGCAGGCAGCCCCTCGCCGCGAAAGGGTGTTCGACTGAGTCTGGGAAGGAGTGGCAGCGACATCGAAGCAGGCACGAGTGAGGTCGTGTCCCCCAGCAGTCAGCACGGCGGCGCCTTCCCTTTCGTGGATTCCAGCGGCCACAGCGACCTTGATGCCATGCGCAGGGCTATCACCAGTGTGCTGTCTCGGCAGGCCAGCGGGGCTTCGCACGGCGGCCTCTCGCAGTCCTTCACGTCGTCTCAAGAAGAGTCAGCCGCAAGCCGCCGAGAGTCGGCAGCCTCTGCCTCTGGTGCTGCCAATGAAGAGATTGTCACGGCAGCCAAGATCGGCGCGCAGCTGCTGAATGAGAATGAGCAGCTTCGCCAACAGGTGTGTCGTCTTTCCATTCACGCATCTAGGCAGAGAATGAGCGTCAGCAAGCAGCAGCAGTCCATCGAAGAACTGCAGGAGGAGGTGGATCGGCTCCAGAAGCAGCTGCGAAATGCGAACGAGGTACGGACACCTTCCAACAAGCCACACACGAGTGAGACACGAGTCTGCTGGCTGTTTTGGTCCGTCCCCTTAGGTTGGTCGGTGTCAGAACTTGAGGGAGCTGAGCAACCCGATCGAGGAGGAGGTGGACATCGAGCAGAGACGGCGAGTGCAGATCAGCGACCTGCAGACGCAGGCTGGCGAGGAGGGGATTCGAAGAGAGTGGATTAGCCGTGACGCAGCCCCGCCCACAGGTACCAGAGGAGGTGGGAGCAAAGAGTGGCAACTCAGCAGAGAGGGAGTGCAGAATCGTATCAGCTCTCTTTGCTTCTTTGTGCGCGCATTCAGAGAGGTTCCAGCCCCCCGACATCCCACCCGGCCACGCACCACCCACCACCACAGCCCCGCCCCATCGCAGCCCTCAGCACCAGCACTTCATCCCCATGCCGCCGCTCGCCCTCGCCTATGTCCCGCCTGTGGTCGCCCAGCCGGCTGGCGAGGAGTCGAATGAGGGAGACGGAGTACCATCATCGTCCTCGTCTCCCTCAACCGCCCCCCTCCCCTTGCCGGCCGGCTGGACCGAGTACTTCACCAACGACGGCCGCCCATACTACCACAAGGCCGCAACAGGTGTGACCACGTGGTTCCGGCCCAGCTTTGCCACAGAGGCGGCTGAATTCCTGCGCCACCACTGCCGTCCGGAGGCTTGGACCGAGTACTTCACCAACGACGGCCGTCGCTACTACCACAACGCCGCAACCGGTGTCACAACCTGGGATCGGCCGACTTGCTTCCCCCCGCCGCCCCTCCCACACATAGCCCCCCGCCCACACGCCCCTCGTGTCGCTGCTCACGGTGATGGTGCCGAGGTGGTCATTGGGTACCACGTGCGGACAGACACCAAGGTGTCCGACGGGCGCGGCGGATGGCGGGTGGTGGCCACCACGCCACACATACCGCCCGTTCGAGTGCTGCTGTGGCGGACTCGGAGGGAGGGGAGGGAGCGGTGGCCGAGAGGAAGAGGGAGAGAGGGATAAGGCAGGCTGCAGCCTACATGATAAAGAGGGCGGGCGTGTGGGTGGAGATCTCGTGTGTTGTGTCTGTCCGTCATGCCGTGCGGTGGATGTCTGTCTGTCTGTCTGTCTGTCGCCTGCTGCCTTTCTGCAGCTCCTGCTGCTGCTGAAGCCGATACCTTGGTTGGTCGCCTTAGTGTGACTGTTTCCCAGTCGGTGTGTGTGTGTTTGCGTTGACGTCCGTTGCCGTTGTCACACACATACACACACACACACACACACACATGCCTGGCTGCATGTCATCTGGGGACGGACGAGAGAGAACTTGGAGGGGAGGAATGGCCGAGCCGGGGTGGGTGGGTGGGTGGGTGGTTGGATGGATTGTCTGGGTGACCGACTGAGTGACGGCCGGCCGGCTGTACCTGCCTGTGGTGGGTGGGGGTGACGTGTTACGAGAGAGAGGCCTGTATGTCTCTGCTGCCTCCCTGCCTGCCTGTTTTGATGCCTGCCTGGCTGCCTATGGTGTCTTGTGCTCAACAGACGGATGGATGGATAGATGGGACAAGGAAGAGAGTCGGCCTTCCTGCCTGCCAGCTTTGCCCACCATCCCTCGTGGTGATGGGATGTGATGCCAACCGACCGACTGCCCGACTGCCCGTCTGTCTGCCTGCCTGTCTGTCTGCCTGGGGGTGTCACTGTCACACACGTCTGGCTGATTGTGCTGTTGTGCTGTGCTGTGTTCCAACACGCCTTTTGCCCACACACCCATCGCACGCACACACGCACACACGCACACACACGAGCACCTTTTTATGTTCTCGGAGGGAGGGAGGGGAGGGAGGGATCAAGTGCTTCTTCCTTTCCCCACCACCAGTCAATCAAGCAACCACCTCTGCTGGCGGTGTTTTTGTCAGGGCAGGCAGGCACATAGCTCACTAACACGAATGCGTGTGCACTCACTGGTGAAGAGGCAAACGTGGCAGTCAGGTCTTTTGCGTCGGCGGGGTGGAATGAATGGAGGGGGAATGGGTGGATATGGTGGACTGAGAGAGAGCATCTGTGTCGCCATTCTTTATGTAGGAGGACACACACACACACACACACACTGGGTGGCTGGTGGGAGACGATGGGTGGGCGGTGGATTGACATGTGACGTGCCCCCAGAACTTTCTTTGCCAGCCTCACCTACTTGCTACTGCTGCTGCTATGCTCTGTCTGTCTCTGTGTCGGTCGCTGAGAGGGAAGAAGAGAGAAATGCGCACAGCGGGGCACCCGCGCGATTTTCTAACCGTGTCTGCCTGTCTGTCTGTCAGTGCTTGTCCATGTCCGTCCACTCGTCCCTACTTCTCGCTCGCTATCACTCCGCTCGTCAGCCACGGGGCCGGTCATGACGGTTTGCTTTGTTTCTGAGGGCCGCCTTGCTGGCTGGCTGGCTGGCTGGCTGGCTGGCTGCCCACCATCACATTGGATCTGTCTGCCGCTGGCCCTTTTTTGCGGGTGTCTCTCCTCTGTGGTGGGCCTGGGGCCTTTCCTCTCTGTCTCTGTGGATTTGTGGGTGTGGATATGGCGACGTGGGCCAAGTACACACCTCAGGTGAGCAACGGACGGACGACGGATGGACGAATGCACTACTCTCTCTCTCTCTCTCTCTGTGTGTGTGTGTGTGTGTGTGGCGCGTCAGATTGCTCACATGTGATATTTGGCACGCCATTTGGCTTCGTCGATTACCGCAACAAGGCTGGCGACCCCATGGATGACGCCGGGCACGGAACACATGGTTTGTAGCACTGCAGACACAGACAAAACAGACACACACAGACACACACAGACACACACAGACTCACAGACAGACAGACCTACCGATTGGCCGATATACCAATCGACTGACACCACACCTGTCTGTCTGTCTGCCTGTGTGCATTTGTTTAGTTGCTGGTGTCATTGCCGCCAAGGGCAACAACGGAGCCGAAGTCAGCGGCGTTGCGTGGAAGGGCCAAATCATGGCACTCAAATTCCTCGCGGCTGATGGCAGTGGTAGGATACTGACCCACTGATACTCTTTGTGAGTGAGGCTGCATGTCTCTGTGTGCCCCATCTGTGTGTGTCTCTCTGTGTGTGTTTGTTGTGCGTCTGCATTGTGATCAGATCTAATGTCGGATGCCATCGAGGCCCTCGAGTATGCGGTGGACCACGGGGCGCACGTGACCAGCAACTCCTGGGGGGGAGCCCGATTCAGCTCCGCACTCTACAACGCCATTGTCGCCAACATGAAGGTCAACCAGCTGTTCATCTGTGCCGCAGGCAGGCAACAGGACGACGTCATGCCCGACTTCCCGGCGACCTTCGGCATTCCCAACATGGTGACGATCACGGCGCATGACGAAGTCGGCAATAAGACCATCCACCTCGCAGCGCCCGGTGCTAACATCATCTCGACAGTGCCACCCAGCCTGTTCAATGAATCGTAGGCGACGTGCATGACGGAAACAAAGAGAACCCCTCTGTCTACGGGCGTCTGTCTGTCTGTCTGTCTGGGCTTGTAGGCTGTACACGGCCAACGGCACATCGATGGCCGTGCCGCACGTGACGGGTGCTGTGGCGCTCATGCTGGCGGTCAACCCGGACCTGACGAGCGGCACGTCCCTCTCTGAAAACGACACGTTCCTGACCGTCACCGAGAAGAGACTCAACGTCAGCAAGGCCCTCCCCAGGTAGCCCTTCCTGACCGAGAAGAGACTCAACGTCAGCAAGGCCCTCCCCAGGTAGCCCTTCCTGACCGAGAAGAGCCGGTCGTCTGTCTGTGGGTGCCCCCATAGCCAACGGTGGCACTCGTGTCCTGATCGTGCAAGTGCAGGACGTGACGGGAGACCACGCCAACGACTTTGAAGTGCTGCCGCCCAAGGGCATGATAGTCTCCGTCTCGCCCAACCAGGAATCCCACCTTGTCAAGGTCAGCCAGCCCACACTCACCAACAAGCCGTCCTACATGGCTCGCTGAACGTCTGCCTGTCTGTCTGTCTGTCTGTCTCTCTCTCCTTCTTTCCCTCTCTGGTCTCCTCAGGTCCGTTGCATCCCGTCCAAGAGCGGCACCCGCACCGCCACGCTGCACCTGGCCACCAACGAAGGCTCTCCCGCCGGCAGGGACAAGACACTCACACTCCAAGCATCCGGGATCGCATCCTATTCAACACAGCCAACACCTACAAAGTCAAGGTCAGTCAGCGACGCGAGAATTGGCAGCAGCGATCATCCAACTTCTTGGTTGTTTCTCTTCTGGCGTGGCGTGCGTTTTAATGCGGGCGTGTCGATCCGTCGATTGGTCATCAGAGAGCTAATGAGGATGCGGTCAAGGGACTCATATACTGCGTGCAGCTGGGGATGGACACCCAGATGACCACCGCCCCCGACTACGTCATGACCACCGGTAGGTAGAAGCTGCTGAGAAGAAGTAGTGAGTGAGTGAGTGAGTGAGTGAGCGAGGGAAATCATCCAGGAAGGGTATTTGTTGTCTTGTCCATTCAGGTGACTTCTTCTTGTTCGGGAACAAGACGGCTGAGAACAAGCTCACATTTGAATCTGGCGAGAGGAAGACGGAGGTGGCTCTGCCCTTCCCTGTCCCGTACTTCGGTGGCATCTACTCGACCATGAAGGTTTCACTCGACGGCTCAATCCTACTCGACTACGACGTGGTCAGTAGACGCGCGCTCATCTATCCACTTGGCGTCCATCCTCTGTGTGTGTGGCCGCGTTGACTGGTTTTTTTGGTCAGGTGATCAACGGGTACGCATCGTCCGAGTTGTCGACGACGGATGGCGTGTACGTGGAGGTCGATGAGTACACCGGCGCGGAACCATCAACTTCCAGGTGGTGCTCGAGGAGAACGTCCATGGCATCACGCACGCCGACGCTTTCAACCCGCAGAGCGACAAGCACATCAAGGTCGGACTCAAGAGCGCCACCACACAAGGCCGTTTCGGCCACTTCGGCGTACCCCACCCACGGGCACCGCTATCCAATACATGCCCATCTCAGCACACCACTGGATGACCATGGCCGGCACGCCCCACGGAATCATCCCGCCCAAGGGGCAGACCGAACTCAGAATCAACCCACGGAAACCGACGGACTCCAGGGTACGTACCTCGCCAACACACACATATACACACATACACGGCCAACATCCATCCATCAAGCAGCTCCTTCTCTGTGTCGCTTTCTGTCTGTCTGTCTGTTTGTTTGTTTGTTTGTGTGTCTGTGTGTGCTGCATTGATTATTCGGACAGTGTGCCACACGGACCCCGACGCGTGCGATCTGTCGCGCACTTTGTGGCAGGGCGGCCAACGCGTCCTGTACCTCAACACCAACGACACCTTCATGAGACTTCCACTCGAGTTTAAAGTGAGGGAGCGGAGATCACCGCCGAGGGCGAAAACCCCCTGCTGCACTTCGACAGGTACGCGAACCGCCACACAGATATGTGCTGTCCATGTCCCTTCCCGATGCATCAATCGCATCCTTTCTGATGTGTGTGTGTTGGCTGGTTGGTGTGGCTACTCACATGCATGCAGGTACTCGGAGAAGGAGTTGTTGGTGTCGGGTGACTTCCCAGAATGCCGCCACATGCGCCCGCCAGTGTCCGGAGGAGACCATCTGCAAGTCCTTCGACTTTGAACAGCTTTCCTCGTGCAAGATGACCCGATCGACCAAGGACGACGACCCCACCAAGTTCGTCACGCCCACAGGCCGGTACGAACCAAGACACACACACACACACACACAGATGTCCTCAAGAGACACGCATCAATTAAGATAATACTGTCTTTCTGTGTCTTTCTTGGTTCTCCCTCCAAACGCACAGCTGGGGACCAGTACGAGGTCAAGGCCGCTGCGCGTCGGCTGCAAACGAAGGGCAGCAAGGGCGCCTAGAGCCTCCTTCCTTTGTCTGTCTCGTGTGTATTACGGTTGGCTTTGCCTAGTGTGCTAGGGGGGAGGGCCTGTCTGTCTGTCTGATCGGTTTTGGTCGTGTGTGTGCTTTTGGGCGGTGTTCCTTTCACACCGACTGGCAGTGCACGAGTGTGGGGTTTGGGAGTGTGTGATAGGGTGAGTGGGTTGGGCTACTTGGGGGTAGTGTAATACGGTCAACTTCGCAGTCCCTCCCCCCGCCAGGTTCACATGTGTGTGTGTATGGCACAACAGCAGACAGAAGTGGAAAAGGAACCACGGGACAGGACAATATATCAGATATACAAATGCATCGATCTACATAAAGCATACGGCCGTTGGCTGGTCCTGGCCCGGCTCAGACGGCTGATGAGTGTGTGTGAGTACTCTTCTCGCAATGGGATGGGGCTGGGCAATGGCATAGGGGTGGGTGTGAGTGATATTAGTGATATTTTGCACTGGAAGTTAATGATTGCAATCATTGCATGGGCGTGTGAATGCGCATAGTGCAGACAGGCAGAGTGCGAAGATCAATCCAAGATCAATGTACCGGCACAACTCGTACAAACGAGACAGTGGATGCATGAGCTCTGACTGTCACCTCTTTGGGCGGTCTGTGTAGGGGAGTGTCATCCATCCACACACATGTACACGCGATGCATCTCTCTCTCTCTCTCTCTCTTCGTTGCCTATCACCAATGTATTGATCACCCCATGCATCGGTCAGCCATACACAGATGGGGCGATGGGTGGAGGCATGGAGACGTACATGCGTGGGACAATCACGCACGCGCTTGGTATCATACATACATTATAGGTAGGCTGGCTGGCTCGCTCTCGGCGAAATCCCTACCTACACGCCATCACGAGACGACATGCACGTGTACATCTCTCTCTCCGTCCATCCACACACTCATCAGCAATCGCCCCACACCATGTTCCTGCACCCAATCAAACACCCATGATCAGTCCAGCAATGTCTCCCTCCACACCTTTGTGTCTCTGTCTCTCTCACCATTCCACGACAGTGGACAGATGACACAAGTCACCTCCAGACGCTGATGCGCCAGTCGTGCACCCGGCTGCCTCTCCCCCTCCCAGCACCCGTCGTCACGCCGACCCCTGCCCCATCCACACGCCTCCGCGCGTTCGTGTTTGGAAGGGACGCACACGGACTGCCGACGGCACACGCGTCAATGCCGCAGCCCTTGTCTCTCTTCTGCGACTCACCCATGGCCACAACAGGCTGTTTTGCCGACGCGAAATAAGTGGCGTGCGGCCGCTTCACGGTGGCCGGGCCGGCCGGGGGCCGATACGGTGGGCGGGTGGAACGTCGATGAAGGCCTCTTGCATGACGTTGCTGCTGCTGCTGCTGCCGTTGGTGTAGGCGGAGGCACAATGGCCGGCGGGGGGCTGCGAGAGCGGATGCCGGGCATGAGTGTGGCCGTGAGCCTGCTCTGCAGAGTTTCTTCTCGCTTCCTGGCCGCCTCCCTCTCCTCATGCAGCAGCCTCTGTGTCGCTGAGCGCACCAGTGGGCCATCTGGCAGCCGAGGCGCCTGCGGCACTAGCAGCTGCGCGGGAGGGGGCGGGGGCGCGATGACATGGCCAAATCCTGGACGCGGCAGCGCCAAGAACGAGCGTGTGTGGTGACGGCGATCTGGCAGAGGGCTGGGCAATGGCATCTTTGCCAAAGTGACGGTGGGTGGAGACGGGCTGCGGGCAGCGACCAGCCGAGGCGTGGCGAAGAGGGTGACTGGATGAGGGATAGGGGGAGGGGGATGGACTGTCGTGTGGTAGGCGAGAGGAAGGGGTGACATCCGCAGCCGCAACGAGGGAGGCGGCAGCGAATGTGTCTTCCTCTCCGGCTTATTTCTGTCTCGGCTGCTACCTCCACAGGCGGACGCGCAAGCCGCTCTCTTCTGGACCACGCCGTTCTTATCCTCGTCTCCTTCGGACGAGGCAGCCGACAAGACACCCTGTGACTGCATCTTGGGCGACAGCAGGTAGCTCAGCCTCCCCTGGGCCGGGTCGGGATCTCGAGTGAATGCGCAGCAGGGGCTGACTTCCTTTTGTCTCGCTGCCCGCTGTGTGTGGCGGATCATCAGAGGCGGCATGCGTGTCTCGGGGGGCGGGGGCGCGGAGTACGGCCGGGGTTGATGGATGGGCACGATGGTGGCGATCTTGGCGCGCGTGAAGGGTGGACGGCCCTCTCGGCATTTCGCGTCTCGCTCCTTGATCGTCTTGAGCAGAGAGGCCAGCGACCGTGCGTCGGGGGAGCTGATGTCGACGGATGGCGCCGACACGACGCCTTGAGGCGAATGGGTAATGCGCTGTGTCTCCAGGCGGCGCTTGAGAGCTTCGTTGTAGGCCTCTAGATCGGTCAGCTGTTCCTGTAGCTGCCGATGCACAGCGGTGAGGGCTGAAACCTGCAAAGGAAAGAAGTACACGTGTCTCTGTGTGGGTGGTGTACTGTCTCCTCACCTCTTTGACAAGGTCTTCGTTCACGGTCTGCAAATGCTGTCTCTCTTCGTCCGACATAGGCGGCTTCATGCCCTCGCCCTCCGCCATGCCCACTGCAGCAGGCAGATCCTTGAGGTATTCCTCCAGCTTGTCCTTCTCCGCTTGAAGACCTTCGAACTCGCGCCGCTGTGCCTCGAGCTGAGATTTGAGCTCCTGGTACTCCTGCAGCTTGGCCATTAGCGACTGACACTCAGCCACAAGGGAAGTATTGATGCGCTCCAGCTCAGCAATTCTCTCGAGCGTCTCGGCGGACGCCACCTCCCTCACTGTCGGCTCCATGGCGTCGGTCTGCATGGCTTCCTCACGCAGTGTGCGGGTCCTGACGATCTCCTTTGGCCGGATCTTGAGAGTGGACAAAGAGTCCTGGAAGTCACTCAACTTGCTCAAGACGAGACGCCACATTGACTCGTTCCTATCAGTCTGACGTTCCTGTGGCACTCCAGGATCTCTGATCTGCACCCGCCTTCTCTGCTCGATGTCCGCCTCCTCCTCGACGCCAAGTTCCTCTCCACTGCCGAAACCGCCAGAGATGCCGGAAGACCTGATACGGCTGGGAGTGGCTGGCGGTGTTACGGATGTGCCCATTTCCTGTTGCTTGGGGTGGGCGGGCGCTGCTGCGGCTGCTGCTTGCGTGTCTGTGGGGGGTCCCTCTCCGTTTTCATCCTCGGATTCCTCCTCTGCTTGCAGCAGTTCGTCTTGTAGGGTGCGGGCCTTGTGCGGTCGAGGGGAGGGCTGGGCGGCGTCTGTTGTCTCCATCATTCCCTCCAGCTGGGCCAACTCGTTGGTGAGCTTCGCGGCCTTGGAATTGTAATCATCTGACAGACAGACAGACAGACAGACACACGGACAAAGACAAACGAAGGTTGTCTGGTGAATGATTCATGCTGTGATGCTTTGCTTACCAAGGACGGATTTGAGTGTGTTGAGCTCTTCTTGCAGCTGCAGGGCCTGCTGATTGGCCTCGGCCCACCGCTGCTCCGCTCGCTTGACGTCGTCGGTCATTTCGCGCTCCTTCGCCTCGAAGACAGCCTTGAGACGCTGCAGCTCCTCGGTGACCTCGTGTGCCTTCCGCTGCGCCTCCACCACCTCGGGACGCTTGCGATCGAGGGCTCGCTCGTGCTCCTCCTTCAGATCAGCGATCTCCTGTACGTACACAAGCATGTGTACAACAGAGATGGATGTTGTGTGGACCGGAGAGGAGTTGGTGTGTCCCTCAATCTTCACGCGCCGACCTGTTGCAACTCGGTGTTCTTTCGCTTGGCGCTTTCCTCGCCCCGCTTGTGCTCGTTGACTTGCCGCTGTGAAGCGGCAAGCTCAGCCTCCTTCTCCTCATACCGCTCCTGCAACCTCTTGTACTCTTCTGTGTCCATCGTGTTGCTCAGCTTCCTCAAGTCCTGACACCGACCAACCAAAGGAAACGAACCAAAAAGAGCCAGCAGACTCGTGTCTCACTCGTGTGTGGCTTGTTGGAATGCGCGAGTACCTCGTTGGCGTTTCGCAGCTGTTTCTGCAGCCGATCGACCTCCTCCTGCAGTTCCTCGATGAACTGCTGCTCGCCGACGCTCATTCTCTGCCGAGAGCTGGTGGTCAGCGACCCTCTGCGAGAAGAAGGGCCTTTCTCTCTGGGCTCCTCCTCCTGACGTGCCTTGTCACTCTCGTCGTTCTCTGGCCCCTCCGATATCTCGTCGAGGCTTCCCATTGAGAGTAGTCCGCTGTCCATTGTCGCGAACGCACTCTTTCGTCGCTGCTGCGAGGACCGACCTGAGGCGTCAAGTCTCTGCCCGGGGCTGCGGTCCATCGCTGATACGTGATTGGAAAGACGGCGCACCTGTTGGCGAAGCTGCTCATTCTCATTCAGCAGCTGCGCGCCGATCTTGGCTGCCGTGACGAGCTCTTCATTGGCAGCACCAGAGGCAGAGGCTGCCGACTCTCGGCGGCTTGCGGCTGACTCAGACGTGAATGACTGCGAGAGGCCGCCGTGCGAAGCCCCGCTACCCTGCCGAGACAGCACACTGGTGATAGCCCTGCGCATGGCATCAAGGTCGCTGTGGCCGCTGGAATCCACGAAAGGGAAGGCGCCGCCGTGCTGACTGCTGGGGGACACGACCTCACTCGTCCCTGCCCCGATGTCGCTGCCACTCCTTCCCAGACTCAGTCGAACACCCTTTCGCGGCGAGGGGCTGCCTGCTGTCGAGACGGTGAGGGGCTCTCGCTCAGAGGGGCTGAGGGTCGATGGCCTGCCCTTCAACGCTCGCTCAGGGAGGAGACCCTCGAGAGTGGGGGGCACCACCTTGGGTGAGCCGACCGTGACGCGCTTGGGCCGAACGGAGTCAGAAGGAGCAGATCCGCTGCTGCCGACGGATGGCCTCCTTCCCCCCGCCTGAGACGACAACGACAAGCTGCCTCTCTGTCCGCGGCTGTTTTGCCGCTGTTGCTGTTGCTGTTGAGGTGTCCTCGTCCTTCGTTGCGATGGTTCGCCGCCGAGCTCCAGTGTCAGCCCGCCCCTGCCATTTCCCCTTCTGTGGGTTGGGCCAAGATCCATGGTTGCCTGTCGTCCGAGGCTCAGCGTCAGTCTTCCTCTGCCGCTCCGCTCTGCCAGTCCTGCTAGGCTTAGGATAGGCGTTGGGGCGGACGCCTCGGGCGGGTGATCGGGCGACTCGAGGCTCAGCATGTGGTCAGTGCTCATCCCGGGGAGAGCAGGGGATGCCGCAAACGAAGACGCTCGAAAGAGAGAGCCGGCGCCCCTGCCTCTCCCACGCCCTCGACTGCTGTTGAATTTGTTGTTGGCCGCAGGGGCCGACGCATCGCGCAAACTCATCATGCTGGCTGTTGTGGTGGTTGCAAAGTTCGCCCGCTGCCTGAAGTCTTGAAGTCGCGAAAAGGGGGTCAACTGGGGGGCTGGAGAGAGGGTTTTGCGACAGCTGCTCTGTCACTCGCGATTGCCGTACAAGCACCTACAACGGAAGGAAGAGAAGGATGGAGGGCGGAGTGATAGTCGAGATTTCGCGAAAACGGAGACGGCGATCGTTTTCTCCTGCTCACCGGCCATTTTCTCCAGAGTCTGAAGTCCAGCACCCACCGCCCTTCGCAGGCAACATCGACAGCGGTAAGCTACTTTCTAAGCCGTTTGCAGGCATGTAAGTGTGGAGCGTGTGTGTTTTTCATCGTCAGGCCTCCCGGCACTGTGCCGGCGCTCCCAGAGAAATGCATCTGAGGCATCAGACCTTCACGCAATCTGACTTCGTCTGCGGCGCCAGCCATCTTTTGGCCCTCTTGTGTCTTCCTGTTGTCCGTAGGGACGGGGAATCCACGTGTGCGAGATTTTCCGTGATGAGACGGCGAGAGCCCGCAAAGTAATTTCCGATTTGAGAGGCAGTTTTTCACAATTTCCGTCCGCGTTCGGCCTTCCAGCCTTCTTTCAGCCACAGATCCTCTGTTTTTCCTCCTGTTAGCCTGGTGTTCGGCTTGAGTGGTCCGCCTCTTCCCCTCCCACGCCTTGCAATTTGCCCGGACGTAGTCCTTGGAGACAGGTGCGGCCACAGTCACTGATATGATGGACGCACGAGAGGCACGAGCTGCTTTCGTCATCGTAGCTCTCGATTCATGCCTCTTGTCTTCCTTGTATCAGAATCACAAGACCAGTCTGTGGAGGGCAGCCATGGTGGACCGTCTGGGAGAGGAGCCTACGTAAGGCCAATTCATTCTTCATCTTTTTCTCCAGATTCCAGGATGCCCGGCTTGCATGGCTACAAGAACTCTACGTCGAGAAGGTGCACCAGCCCACGTTCACTTATTACATGTGCGCATTGTCTGTATGTGCCACGTAAGCAGTTTTTGAAGGAGATGGCCTGCAGCTCTTCCGAACCGGCCTTCACTTGTGTCGATGGCGCTCTGCAATTGCTTGCCAAGGCGGATGTCTCCCGTCTCCTCTTCCTCCACCGAACGAGGTCTTGGGAGCGGCCCAGCGTAGCGACAGAGGCAGCTGACATGCTTCAACAGGCAGAGACAAGGAAGACGGCCCAATTGCGGCGTCTTGATGCCGTGGGCAAGAGAGACATGGGCAAGAGAGAAGATCGGTGTTCAAGGTGAATTTTCTGTGTCGATTCAAGGCCCGCCAAGCCGGGCTATAAATGCATCCACTTATTCACTCACTCACTGTCTGTCCTTTTTTGTGCTGGTGGTTCTCTCAGGCAGGCTGCCAAGGACACGGCAGCACACAGGAATCCCAAGAGGAATCCATTGAGCAGGAGGTGAGACATACGATTCACATGCCCATTGATGGAGAGGTACAATCGGTTGTCTTCCCTTTTGGTTTCTGCAGAGGGAGGTTGGCGAGGGGGAAATCCGGCTCAGAAGGTGATTGCCTTTCGTTGTTCCAACCTTTTTCGTTTTTTGCTGTTCCCTCTTCGGTGGCCATGGTGCTGGTCAAGACAACATTACTGATGAAGCTGGGGGCAGCGAAGGTTGCTGCTCGGGGGGGTGATGCGTCACCATCCCGGCAGCGGCAGTGTGGCTCGTCAACGCGGGCATCAGATGGGGTAAGGAGAGGGTTTGACCAGGCCTGACGCCGAGAGAGTTCCGCCCACGAATAATAGAGAAGGTGGGAAAGAGTGGGTATCCTGGTCAGAACAACCATCGAAGAGCTCAAGGAGGCGGTATCGCACCAAATGCATTGGAGTGCGTTGTGTTCTGTTTCAGCGACAGGACGACGTCATCCACCTCCCCGGATACGCATGCCCTCCCGCCCGATGCTCCTGGCGGTACAACAACCATCGCGAACAGGCTATGGCAGGGAAGGATAGTGGTGAGAAGGCGAAGTTAGAGATCGATTGAGGTGTGTTGGTGTGGTGAGTGACTGTCTCTGCATGATTCATGTGTGTTTTTTGGACATTCCATCACTCAAGAGCTCAGGAGGCGGTAACGAGAGAGCCACAACAAGAGAGCAGAGAGTCAGGGAGAGAGGCGAGAGAGATGGGATGGATGTATGGCACATCGGGTAGCCATCCAGGTAGCCCTTGACCAGACTCAACGTCGGCAAGGCCATCCAGGTAGCCCTTGACGAGACTCAACGTCGGCAAGGCCATCCAGGTAGCCCTTGACGAAAGTCAAGGATGCATCTGTCGTTGTGTCTCTCTCTCTTCCTGTGGATTCCCTGTGTATCAGTGTTTGCTGCCTGGCAATAACATCGTTGCCTACATTTTATATTGGATGGCAATGTACTCGCTGCGCACCTGCTGGACGCCAAAGAAGAGGTAGCGCGAGGAAGCCAATTGTTCAGCCAGCCAGGCGGAGAGAGCCACGCCTGGCTGGCTGGCTGGCTTGCCGGCGTGTAGGCGTGCGTAGGGGAGGGGATTGGTGCCTACATTTTATATCGGTTGCTTCATTTTCTGTCTGTCACGTGTGGCTCTGCTGTCTTAAGCTGACTGCGTACATGCTGTGGGTTCCAGTTGGTGGGACACATTGCTCATCTTATATCAAGTGGATTCAGTCATTCCCTGATTTCACCGATCGTCAACCACCTCCGCACATCATCATGCAGCGCCGATCGATTCGCCTATGTGTGCCACCCGAACTCGAGCAAGGAAGGGGCTCAATAGGAAAGTAGGAAGCTCATCCGTCCGTCCATCCATCCATCCATCCATTGATCACAGGTGCTGCAGGTGGTGGTACCACCGGGTCTTCTGCGCCACGATGGACTTGTTCATCGACTGCAGACCTGATCAATGACATCAGGAAAACAAACCAGCAAGCGCAGACATGTGTGTCCGTGAGGGGTGATGTAGACACCGCCTTCGACCTGAGATGCCCCTGTAGTTATTCTGGTTGGACGTCATGAACTGCCTGGGATCCTTGTTGCCACCAAACCTGCATGGTACACGCAACCAACACAAGCAGCTTTCAGCATGGCCCCGTTGTGTGCTGCTCTGTCCCTTACACAATCTGCGACCGATTTGGCTTCGGCGGCACGAATTCATCAGTCTTCAGGCGATTCCTCTGACTCATACAGACAGACAGACAGACAGACACAATGAGAGAGGGGGAGAGACAAAGAGAGAGGAAGCCGCATCTGCCCACCTCACCATGGCATTGGGATTGTATTTCTCCAGGGGCTTGTTCTTGGCCCCTGCAGACGTCACGGGCTTGGGAGCAAACTTCTCGTTGTAATCACTGCCAGACACTCAGAGAAAAAGAGAGACAGACAGACTAAGGGGCTCTGCAGGAGAGTGCGGCACACACATTCTCAGCATACGCATTCACCTCCTTTTCAGCTCTCTGACGGGCGGCGGGATAAACTTGGGGCATGGATGCGGCGCAGCCATCAAAGTGCCAGCGTGAACCAGAATCTGCACACACACACACAAAGCACACTGCAAAGCTACACCCCCATGGCCAGCAAGCACACTCACACGGCGCTGCTCACCTTGGTGGCACTCTCCCCCGCCCCTTTGCTGAAATCGAGCATCCCCATCTCCTTTTCAGCCTTGGTTGGCTTACACATCTTCTTGGTGGCAGCCTGCTGCTGCTGCTGCTGCACTTGCGGAGGTCCCGCCATGTGGTCAGCTGTGGTCAGTGGATGAACAGGGGGAGGCAGAGAGGATTCGAAATGGGATGTTGACGATTTTATATGGTTTTGCGCGTGAAAGCTTGCTGATGCTCCCCCAGGCCCCCAGCTCGCATGCATGCAGACTGGCGACCCATGTGGGGCAGGAGAGGGTCTGAACCAGAGCTTGTCGACAGTGAAGACCTCCCGTACGTCATGGCTCTACAGCGGCCCGAGGGTACGCACGGATGGTGCTTGCTTGTCATAAATACCGGTTGCGTCTCTCTGCAATGCCTGAATGGATGTGCGGCAGCTTCTGAGGAAGCCCCAGGGGCCAGCGCCCCGCCGCTGTCTCCATCCAGCCCCTTTCGTATGGACGAGTCACACTATGCAGAGTCCTTTCGCAACGCTCTGCAGGAAAAGGCTGAGGCTGACTGGGCGGCCGCGGGGGTCGGTTCCTCCTTTGCAAGGGCGGCTGAGAGACTGCGAGGTGGCCATGGGGCTTCGGTGCATCAAAGGCCGTGTGGTGTGTAATGTGCCGTTTCTGTTTGCAGGTGTGCGTCGTCTGAATATCGAGAGGAACGTTGACATCTCCGACCTTAAGAACCTCTTCATGTGGGTGGGCCTGGCATCCACACACCGATATCTGTCTGTCTGTCTGTCTGTCTGTCTGTGACGCATGACTGCAGCTACAAAGTTCGAAGCCACTATGCCGGCAGTCTCCTCTTCAGCGTCAAGGCGCAACCCGAATGCTGCTCGTACGAGCCCTCGCTCTCTGTGCCACTTCAATCAATCGGCGTGTCGTTTGTGTGTGTCCGCGCGCCTGCAGTCTAGACTGGCAAGAATACTCTTCGTACTTCTTTCTTGGCGAGGTACATGTACATGCCTCTTCTCCCTGCCAATGCAATAAATACATCGATGGAGTCGCTCGCTCCGTTGTGTGCGCAGGATGCGACCCATTCGGCGTTTGCGAAGGTGACGCGGCCGCCAACGCGGGGCTGCTGCTGTCTGGGGGGCGGCGGGTGCGCACATGAGAGGGACGGGAGGGAGGAGCAGACACAGCGAGGGGCAACGGGTGGTGTCTGTCTCTGTCTGTCTCTGTTTTTGGATGGAGTGCAGGGCGGAGTTCGTTCTCAGCGACTCCGTCACTGGTATGGAAAGGAATGAAGAGGAGGGAGGCACAGAGTGAGATGCCAACAACACAACACACGTGTTATGTGCCTCCCTGTGAAGGTTCGCCGATCGGCAGCATTGCCCACCCCTATCAGTGCTGCCACCCAACCCTCACCCTGCAAGACGCTGCGGTGAATGAATGCACAAACGAGACACGCAGCACAGCACCACAGAAATCGCGTTTGCTTATCTGTTTATGTGTGTGCAGGGCCAGTACACGCTGTGGCTTCGCTCGCCCTGTTTCATGTGCACGTGGAGGAGCCCATGTTGCTGTGAGAAGGTCAACTACAAACTGGAAGATGCCAACACGGGAGACCCTGTCGCACATATCGTCCATGTAAGCAACCCCTCGGTCTCGTTATATGTGTGTGTGTGTGGATGTGCGTTGGTAGACTTATGGTCATGGCGGCGATCCGCTCAGCGGGGCGAATATCTTCGCATATAACGTGTGAGGATGTGAACGGCGGCTTCATGTGACGTATGTGGTATGCATGATTCACATGCGCAGCGACGTATCGAGCGACGCCATCTCAAGTGATGCCAACATGATGGCCACCATCGTCGCAGCAAGTAATTGAAAAAGTGACAATACACCAGTGCACCACCCATTTTCGCAGCCATGCTTTTCTCTCTTTCCTCTCTCTCTCTCTGTGTGTGTGTGTGTGTGTGTGTGTCTCAGCTGTGTTGGTTGACCAGCGGTTCACGTGTAAGGATTCGGCCACGCGCAACACAGAGTGCATGGGGGCCACGGGATGCATCATTGCCTGACGTGACTGCTGATACATGTATGTGGAAATCGATGGCCACACACACGGGAAGGAGATCGGCCGCGTCACGTGGCTGGATGGATGGATGTGGCATCGATGTGACTGTCGACCTGATGTATGTATGTGTCTTTTGTGGGTTCATTAGATGGAGACACACAGAGGGATGGGACCGATGGTGCTACATACTGACAGACTGATGTCTGTCCATCGTACAGGGAGTGCACACACGCCCACGACATAAATTAAGGGTACCCCACCTTCCATGTGCACACAGACATTCACCGGTGCCGCACACACATCCACACCCTCCCCCTCTCTGATTTTGCCAATCAGGGCTCTGTTTTGATGGCGTGTGCCGCGTCAGTGTCGTTTCTCCTCAGCCGATCGATGGCAGACAGAGCCAAATAGGGATGCAAGGCGGCTGTGCACACACATATGTGGCGCACATACACAGAGAGGGGGGGGAGAGATGAATAGCCGTGTGCATATGTGTGTGTGTGTGTGTGTGTGATGTGTGTGCGTACCACCAAGGTCGAGGACTCTCTCATCGATGGCGAATTTTGGGTTGTGAACGGTGACCGATGTGCACGGCTGACCTGCGACACCCTCGCCGTCACTGCACACCCACACATGCGCAGCAAGGCAGCATTACCAGCCCATATTCGTTCGAGTTTCGTCTGTGTATCTGCCTGCCCTGCGTGCCGACCCCTGGCCAAGGAGGACAAAAAGTCCGGGCACACTCTCAGCAAAGAAGGCAAAATCCTGACACACACACACAGACAAGCACAGCGCAGAACAGCCTTCTTGGTGAATGAACGCTGTGTCGACAGTCACATCGATGCCACATCGATCCATCCATCCATCCATCTCTCTCCCTCTGTGTGTGCCTCTGTGTGTGTGAAGGCAAGTACCTCTCCGCCCATTGTGGGCGGCACCTCACTGACGGCCAGTGGGAGGTCCATCGCATCGACCGGCAGGGACCGCTGCGCCTCAGACATCACCTGCACAACACACACACACACACACACACATGCATACACAGACAGACACGTGTGTCTGTCTGTCTGTGCGCATCGATGCACACGCACCTGCTTGAACCACTGCCACAGCTGGCCGTCGTTGACGGTCGCCGGGTAAAAGTCCTTCGAGAAACCCACTGTGCACAAAACACACACACACACACATATAGGAATACACACACGTGGACGAGCGGAGGACACACCAGTGACGTTGAGCCGGTGCGCGTTGGCGACAGACTCTGCCATGGTCTGTATCCTCTCGCGCAGGTCAATGATGGACGCAGACGACAAAGACCGGGTGGTGCCTGAGTGAACACCACATTGCATCTGATGTGGCCATCCTTGCCGTGTCTGTGTGTGTGTGTGCAGGCTGACCACCTTGTATGACGGCAGTGGAGGGAATCACATTGTAGGCGTTCGACGTGGCCTGCAGGGCCCATCCATCCATCCATCCACACAAATGCATCACGTCTTGACTGACCCACCTGGAGCACTGTCACGGAGACCACTTTCGCGTTGAGAGGGTCCTCTTCCCTCGACACAAGCGTCTGCAGTGCCGTCGCCAGCTGAGCGGCTACACACACATGAACACACACACACACACACACAGAGAGAGAGAGAGAGAGAGCTAAGCGCATATCGATCTCCACTCACGCAGACAAACATGTCTGTGTGTACGTGTGTGTGGGCAGCCATGTGATGTGCATCGATCGCACCGGCAGGCACTGGGTCGATGGCGAGGTGGGGCATGGCCGCGTGGCCGCCGCGGCCATATAAGGTGATGTCGAATCTGTGCCAGAGGTACACACACATACAAACGCACAGGCGAAAAGGCGCTTGTGTACTTGTGGTTTGTGGGCGTACATGTCAGTTGCGGCCAGCAGAGGGCCGGCGCGGGCCGCCAGAGTGCCCTGAAGACACAGACTCATCACTCATGGTGTGTGTGTGTGCGCGTGTGTGTCTTGTCAGGAGTGCGTACGCTGCGCTGCATTGGCCAGATATGGAAGCCGACTATCTCCTGCACTGTAGGGTACTGCGTCAACACGCCCTGCACACGCACAGACATACACACACGCAACACGCATATCGCCACTTTGTGTACGTGTGTGTGTACCTCTTCCCTCATCATTTTGGCCCCTGCGCCGCCCTCCTCTACACACACACACACACACACACACACACACAGGTATATGGATGCAGTGCAAAGGTGTGCAGGCAGGTGACACCTGCCGGCTGAAAGATCAGGCGAACGGTTCCCTGGAAGCACAGCACAGACGCATGCAGTTAAGCATCCATCCATCCACCGATGGTCCTGCCGATGTGATGTGTGCATCACACCTGTATGTCCTTCTCTCTCCGCTTGAGTATCTTGGCGGCGGCCAGGAGCATCGTCGTGTGCCCATCGTGGCCACACGCATGCCTACACACACACACACACACACTTAGCTAAGTCACACGTGCGTGTGTGTACGAGCATCAAACTCACATGCGCCCATCGTGGGTCGATCTGAAATCTGCAAGCACACACACACACAGAGAAGGCGAGAAGCTGGCCTTGACTGTGTGGGACGTATGTGTGTGTGAGATGTGTCTGTGCGCACCGACGGGGGTCTCTTCGTGGATGGGCAGCGCATCAATGTCCGCTGCACACAAACAGAAGGGCAGACGCTCGTTCATCCTCTGAATGCACACACGACGTCTGTGAGTGCGGACCTCACCTCTCAGCGCCACACATGGCGGCTGTCCCGTGCCCAGATCAGCAACCACCCCTGAATGACGGACAACGCCGCGCAATCCACGCATCTCACGTCTGTCATTCGCACCTGTTTTGCCCTCTGGCCCGTCATGGACGTTCCTGCCCCACCCCTCGGTGTAATCAATCCCCATCTGCACACACAGAGAGACCCAGACGCACTCACTTTGTTGATCTGGATTGTCAGCCGACCACCTCTGCGAGAGTCTTTTTGATGTAGGCAGACGTCTTATGCTCGGCGAACATGAGCTCGGGGATCTGATGCAGGTGCCGCCGCCTGTCGATGGTCCACTCATGGATGCCTTTCGCCTCGCCAAGCAGATCTGCGAACGGCGGTGATGATCCATGAGTCAGCAAGGCACCGGAAAACAGCACACTGACGCTGGCAGTGAGCATGGCGACAAACGAATCGTTGCGGCACGGACGAGCCGAAAAGTCCAGCTCGCACCGCAAACCGTTTGGAACCAACGGCAGAAAGGCAATCAAAGCGCTGAGCCTCATGTCGGGCTTGTCCCTGGGGCCGGCCATGACGGGCTGTGAGGCGGCCGACGGGCTGATCCGCCGAGCCCGCAGGTCATTTGACGACATTGTGGCGGCCAAGGAGAGGGCCCAGGCGGACGTGGAGGCCATCGCCAATGAGATGTCCACCATGGTGGCGGCCAAAGGGGGCGTGTGGCAGCTCCCATACACTCAGGGAGAGATCATGGTCAATGCCGGTAAAGACGGGACGGAACAGACAGGCAGAAATGGGCATGTGTGTGTGGTGCGACTGTCCGTCACTTTCTCCCTCTCTCTCTCTCTGTGTGTGTGTGTGTGTGTGTCTGACCAGGCGGTGTGGTCTTCCCAGTGAGTCGGCGCGCCCTGTTGATGCCCTTCATGAAGCACCGCTACATCTCGGTCCTCCTGATGCACCACGCGGGCGGCCTGCCCAAGGACCCCGACGGCCACCTCTACCTCGAGACGTCATCGGCATACTTCGAGGCCTTCTGGGACGAGCTGATGCTCTACCAGACTGGCCGCACCGACATCGTCACCCTGCCGGCATCCAAGGCATCAGATCCGCTCTACAATGACTACCACGCCCTCTTCATGAGTGAGATCAGCTGCTACTCGGCCTCCCAGCCGCCCGCAGCCACGGCCGCGCCGATGGAGGTCGACGGCCACACACCCGACACACAGCCGGCCGACACACTAGATGAGATGCGGCAGCACATCCATGAGTGTGAGGAGGCCCTCCACGCCCATGGGGCGGCCATGGTGGGGCTGCGGGCGGTGCGGGATGACATCCGGCGGTTCCTGACGGCCATGGAGCCCTTCTTCGCCAGCCGAGACGCCGACGACAATGCCGTTTTGAGCCTGACCATCCACAGCCGCACTGTGTCGATCATGCGGAAGACACTTGAGCGGCTCGGCCACAACCACCCCCTGCTGACACGCTTCTCGACGTATGAATGACACACAGACACAGAGAGAGGGGAACGAGGGGATGATGCGCATTGGTGTTGGTGTCTGTGCTGGTGGTGGTCAGGACGCCCCCGTGTTGGGCCGACCGTTCTGTGCGGCAGACGCCCACCAAGTGCTTCATGGCCGCCGTCGAGTTTGCGCGCCGCATCGCCATGGCGGCCGCCGGGCGGCTCATCCGCCCGCCACTCGTCGAGGAGGCCGACAACCGTCACTTTGTCGAGGACATCGTAAGTGAGACACACAGAGAGGGAGGGCGGCACACGCAGGAAGGAGCAGCTGTGTTGGTATGTGTATGTGTGTGTGTGTGTCAGGAGATGTATGCGTTGAAGTACGAGCCCCTCTGCAATGGCGTGACGAGTGGCGACTTCGTCATCGAGACGGCCGAGGAGTGGGGCAAAGTCATCGAGATGACCGGCAAACACTCACCCTCAGTAACACTCATCTAAAAGTGAGCCAGCTACGGCGGGAGGGAAAAAGACACTCAGAGATCGTTGCGGTGCGTGTTGATGTCAGGTCGAGTCGTGACACATTTGAGTATCCGTCCTTCCTCAACAAGGTGGTGGGCAAGAGCGGCCTCCTCTTCGCCCTTCAAGACGGCGACACTCACCGATTCGGGGCTTTCATTGACGGCCCACTCACCCCGCCAGCCAACCCCACACAGATCAACTGCGACAAGGTGCCTGTCTTCTTCTTTTCGCTGTCGGGTGCGTACGAGACGCCCACCAAGATCGAACTGCCAGAGAACGAGCAGCAGGTGGACGTGGCCGGCACAGAGGGGGTGGAGAAAAACATGGACGAGCGCACTGCCAAGGTGGGCATCGGTGGCGGTGCAGCAGCTCTCTGGCTGACAATCGCCTTGCCTGGCCCGGCGGCGGACCTCAGCAGCTGCGAGCTGTGGATCAAGAGGGACAAGCTGCCGGACGGCTACATTGACGACAGCGATTTTGATGACGAGGAGGAGAATGGCCCGATGGATGAGGAGGGCGACGGCACGCTGGCCCACGCAGAAGACTTCACGTGCACTGAGCTGGAGGTGTGGCACGTCACAGAGGTCAGCGAGAGGCAGCGAGGGCAACAAGCAGAGAGAGATCGGAAAACTGCATTTGATTCCTGTATCCATGTGATGCGTATGTCGCTGTGTGTGTGTGCAGGAGGTCAACGCCTGATGCACTGGGACAGGCGTGAAAGGGGCGGAGGGGTGGGAGGGGTGGGGGTTCCGTGGGGACAGGAGAGGGAGGGGGCGAGGGCTGCCTCTTTCCTTTGCCTGAAGTGCCTTTTGCGCTGCTCTCACTCTTTTAATTAAGACCTATGTGCCACTTGGCCTTTATGTGGCTCTTGTGCTGGCGATGCGGTGCTGGTAGATAGCTGATCGGTGCCCCACAGATCCCCACGGTGTATACGTTTACGCTTGTCTGTACTCTGTAGCTATTACTAGATGTGGTGTCTGTGTGATGCATGGTGCCATGTCGTCATCGATCAGGGGAGGGACAGATGTGTGTGCTGTGCGCCGTGCTGATGAACGGCTGGGTCACATTATGAGTGACGTGAGCGGCTCTGTATTTGTCTACTGCTTCCTGGGGATGGTCCACGTCGCTGTGATGACAGTCTGCAAGCCGGCGGATCGAGGAAGAAGTTTTCCTGTGTGACGTACGTGTGTGCAGACATCCGTGTGTGTCAATCTTGCATTGTAGAGGCAGAGAACCAGACAGCCTCGCACTGCCCGTGATCAACTGGTGTGCCGTTTGTTTGATGACGGACGATTCGCTGTTTACTCTTTGATTCGCTCGCCGTATGCACGCGATTGATTGGCGCCGTGCTGGAAAAGGGTTTCTTGTGTTCCATCGACAGGGCATGTGGCTGCCGTGGTGCATGTGTGGAGCGTGAAGTCTTTTGATGCATGCGACGATGCAAGCAAGACGGTCATCGTCTGTGTGCCGTCGATGGACGGGGGGATGGAGGGAGCATCTGTGTGTGTGTCATTCGCTTCGCCTGTCTGTCTGTGTGTCTATCGTGTGCACTGATCACGATCATGGTCCATCTTGTGCGTATAAACCAATCAAATGTCTAAAGCAATCAGCCCTTTACGCGATACTTACTGTACGTGTCCATCATGGTGGCTGCGTGAGTGAAGGAATGACTGCCATCTGGCCAGTGGCACACCATGACCGACATGCACAACCTTAACTCTGCCGGCCCTTTTGCGATGTCATGACATCGGTCTGTGCAATGGATGCTTGGGTGAACAGTGAGTGTTTGCATCGGTCTATTGCGTCTGAGTGTCTGCACAGAACGACCGGTACCTGCACCTGCACAGAACCGTCCGTCCAGGGTGACGACAGCAAACACAGCCAGAAGCACCGCCTTTTATGAATCAAACAGCCGCCATGTTTCGGGAGTCGCCCACCACACTGCTTGTGAGGATGCCGGCGGGTCCAACAGGCGACAAATTGCCCAGTCTGTCGGCGAGTGCCGGATCGCACTTCCTGTTTCAGCTCGCATCTCCACGGCTCGAGCGGCTCGTCTGTTGTCCTCCGTCCCCATCTCGCATCGCCGGCAAGCATGAGAGGCGTCGACGCCGCCAAGCGGCTGGTGGCCGAGCTGGAGAAGCGAACTCTCATCGTCAACAGACTGATCACTGCCAGCGGCGGACAGCTGACGGTCACTGAGCCGCTGGATGGCGAGATCGAGGTCAACGTGGGCGGGACGGTGCTGTGTGTGCCTCGCAAGCCGCTGCTGCTGCCCGGCGTGAGCGACTCGTTCATCGCCTATCTGCTGCTGCACCATCTGGATGGGCTGCCCAAGGACACAGAGGGCCGGCCATTCCTGGATGCTGACCCGATCTATATCGACTGGTGAGCCAGTCGACACACACAGAGGGGAGGGAGAGCGGGAGGGAGGGAGGGAGGGCAGACGAACTCAGATACACAATGCATGCTGTCCTTCTGTTGTGTGTTTCTTGTGTCAGGCTGTTCAATGAGATTGCCAACGTCGGTGCTGCGGATGCGCAGGCCGAGACTCACGAGATCAAGCTGACAGGTGACCACAGCACCGACGTGTCATTCCTTTTCTGGCATGAGCTCCTCTTCAACAACAAGACACAGCTGAACACCAATGGCCAAGATGGCCAACAGACAGCCACTCCCGACCCGCACGACACCAACACCCTTCTAGCCGCTCTCAGCCACAGCTCCGCGAACCTCACGAAAGCCTTCAAACAGGTGATGGACGAGCACCAGCAGCTGCTCAAGTTCCACCGAGTGATGGGGCCGTTCCTCAAGTCGGCTGATGGCCAAGGCGATGAAATCAAGAGCGTGCGTGTGATGGGCAGGACGGTGTCGACCACCGAGGCCACACTGGCATTCATCGGCACCGACAAGCGACTCTACACCACTTTTGACAAGTGACAGAACGACGAGATGGGATACACGTAGAGGGGCATTCATCTCATTGGCCGCTTCTTGTGTGTTGCAGCATCGAGGCGATCTCGTGCATCTCGCCCGCCCACTTCATGAAGGTCGTCGACTTCGCTCGCCGACAACGTGTCGCATCCGTCGGCGGCATCGTCAAGCCGCCCACCGCCCCGAATCAGCGACAGCTCACCACCGACTGCGGCATGTACGGCCTCACCATGGCCGACTTCCACAAGCCCTTGCTGTGGGCCGACGAGCTGCAGTGGATCATCGACAACATAGGCAAGGGCAACGTCACAACCACACTGCTCTTCAAGTGAGTGGCAAAAGGAGGCGTGTGGGTGCGGGAGGGGCTGCATCGTGTGTGTATGTCGATTAGGTCGAGTCGCGACACGTTTGCGTATGCCTCCTTCCTCAACAAGGTGGCGTACAAGAGCGGCCTGCTGTTCGCCATCCGAGACGGCGACACACACCGATTCGGGGCTTTTATTGACGGCGAGCTGACACCGCCAGACGATCCCAGACAGACGAGCGGCAGGTACAAGGTGCCCCTCTTCCTCTACTCGCTCTCGGGCGCGTTTGATGCGCTCACCAAGATCGAGATACCGGGGGAGGGTCAGGTGGTGGACGTGGCCGTCACACAGGGGGTTGTACCGAACTTGGAGGGGTGGCCGGCTGGGAGAGTGCGCATCGGTCGCTATTCTGGAGTACTCTGGCTGGGCACTTCCCAGCCTGGTCCTGTGCCCGACCTCAGCAGCTGCCAGCAGTGGATCAAGGAGGGGGAGCTTCCGGACGGATACAATGGGGAGATCAATACGCGCGGCAACGGAACACTGGCGCAGTCGCACAACTTCACGTGCGATGAGATGGAGGTGTATCACGTGGAGGTAGCCCAGTGAGATGGAAGGGCAACGGGCACAGCTGCACGTGTGCGGATGCGTGTTGTCTGTGTCTTTTGCAGGTCAACGGCGCATGATCCGACTGTCCATTGCACTCTGTGTCAAGCAAATGGGAGGCCGGCTGTTTGTTTCAACCAAGGCATGTTTTCCGACTTTCTTTATTCTGTCCGTGTGCGTGCAATTTGTGTGCGTGTATGTGTTTGTGGTTTCTCTTTTCGATGCATGTTGAGTCCTGGCTTCATATATGCAACGCGGCTTGTAGCCCATCTGTCGCCACGACAGACAAGGAGGAGAGAGAGCTCTGATGCACACCACACAGCAAGCGCCGGATGGCCGTGGATGTGGTGATGTGCGTGTGGCTGACATGCATGTCTGACACGTGTGCGTGTGTCGCGTTGCGTGCCTTTGCACGTGTGTCGGCCTGATTGCTGTTTCACGTTTCATGTGCACCGGACGCATCGACACAGAAATGATGGGATGCTGTCACTTTTTCTCCAGCCTTTGCTGCCTTGTATGATGCGGCGGGGATCGATCCCTCCTCCCCTTGAGCCTGTTTGACTCTGCCTGCCTGCTCATGGGACTGTACATATTTGTATGAGTGCTACGGTTGATGCAATTGAGTTGTCATGCTACGCGGGTTTTCTCGCTGACACTGTTGTGAAGTGCATGCAGAGCGGTGCAACCCCGTTGATGGAGCACCGTCCAGGGAGCATCACCACGGCGCAATCAATCCGATTTCATGAGCGGGACAGGCCGGGAACAAACCTCAAACCCAGCGTCGCTTGCAGGGTTCCAAACCCTGCGAGCTTAGACGCGCCGCGAGGAAAGATTTTCGGCAACAATGGCGGCTTCTGCGGACACGAACAAGCCACTGTCTCTTCCTGTGCTCCAGGTGATGCGAATGACTCACTCACGAGAGGAGATCACCACGTCACCTGTTTGCCTCTCTGTGCGTGCGCAGGATCTGATCAAGAGAGATCCTGAAGCATACAGAGAAGAGTACGGACACCGAGAGATGTGCACAGATGCACAAAGAGGGAAGGAGGGAGATGTGTGTTATGTGAGTTTGATCTGTGTGAGCAGGTATGAGTCGCAGGAGGCTCACTTCTCGTCGAGTCTGTCCATTTTGCGGCTGAAGCCCAACAAATATGACAAAGACTTCAACGAACTCACCATGTTCCTCGCACACGTAAGTACACAGACAGATGCACTCACACTGACTGACACACACCATCAAATGGCAGGCACCTGTGTGTCTGTGGTGCGTGTGTGTAGGTGACGCCCTGCTACCAGAACCAGCAAAATCAGCAGCAGAACAGTGCCGCCGGTAAGTCGTTGTGTGTCTGCCATGTGTACAGGTGCAGCTGTTGACTGACACGTGTGTGTGTGTCCACAGGTGCAGCAGCGGCCACTACAGCCCAGCCTTCGTTCGCCGAGCGTCTGATAGGCCTCTTGCTGGACACGAGCATCGCCGGGCAGCTGCACGCCAACACCAGACAGGGCATCGTCAACGCACTCATACTCCTGCGCAACAGGGACCAAGTCACATGCACTCGGTATGACGGTTCACACACATGGATGCCCTTGTGGATGGATGGATGGATGGACGTGTTGTGTGTGCGTGTGCAGCGTGTTGCCTGTGTGGTTTCACCTGTTTGCTCACGTCAATGACAAGGCAAGCAGAGAGAGGGAAAGAGAGACAGAGAGAGAGGCGCACTGCACTCACTGTGCGTGAATATGTCTGTTCTGCGGCCATTCCATGCAGGCTCTGCGGAAGCAGCTGTTGACCCACATAGTGCGCGACATCACCAAGATGAACAAACGCAACAAAGACATGAAGGTCAGCCGGCCAGCGCCGCAGACACACACACTGCATGGACATATGTGTGTGTGTGTCTTCACACACAGGTCAACAACGCCCTGATAGCCTACCTGAGCACCCACCTCAAGGCCAACAGCAACGCCATGTGCGCTAGGAAGGCCATCGCCGTCATGATTGAAATGCACAGGTATGCATCACACGCAAACACAACCACACGCACATGCACACGCATTGGGTATCCATGCAGGCGGTCTGTGTGGCGTGACGCGCGTGTGGTCAACATCATTGCGGGCGCCACCCTGCACACAGACCTGAAGGTCCGCAGAGCAGTGCACGTGTCCATCCATCCATCCATCCATCCATCCATCTGTGTGTCTGCCACAGGTGTCACTAGCGGCGGCGCACTTCATGCTGGGCAACAAGACGAAGGGACAGGTGCCCTCACACACACACACACACACACACATCGATCACTCACACACGCACATCCGTGTTGGTTGATGCAGGATGATGACGCGAGCGACGAGGAGCAGACCAAACACGACACTGCAGAGGTGACTGTGGGTGTAGTTGTAGGTGTAGGGAGAGAGTGTGTGTCTGCGTATCTGCAGGTTGCGCGTGAGATTGTTGGTGCCCGCAAGACAGCCGGGCGCATCAAGAAACTCAAAAAAGCCAAACTGGTACGCCTGGCACAATGCACCACCACGTATGTGCTCTCGTGCACCTCTCTCTCTGTGTTGTGTGTGGTGATCGACACAGATGGTCAAGAAACAGGCGGAGAAGAAGAAAAAGAAGGCCAAGGGAGGTGAGCGCGCCACTCACACACTCAGGAATTCACACACGCATACACCTGTTGTGCACGCGAATGCAGGGTCCGATGGCGTTGTGAACTTCGCCGTGTTGGATCTGGTCTACGACCCGCAGACACTCGCCGAACAGATATTCGGTCGGTCGGTCGGTCAGCCGATGCACACGCGCACATGGTCATGTGTGTGTGTGGATGATTGCGTTGCGTGTGCAGCCCGTGTGCGCGGCAACAAGGAGCCCTTCTCGTTTCGACTGGTGCTGCTCAACCTGACCTCACGGCTCATCGGTCAGTGAGTGAATGCGTGTCTCTTCGTGGGATGGATGGACGAATGTATGGATGTGTGTCTCGTGTGTGTGTGTGTGTTCAGGTCGTCACCAGCTGTTTGTGATGAGTTTCTACTCGCACGTCATGAGATACCTCAGGCCGACACAGGTGCGTACGCACACAGACAGACAGACAAACAGACATGGGTGCACTCATGTGTCTGTCTACCATGTGTGTGTCTGTGTGCTTGTGTGGTGTGTGGTGTGTGGTGTGCAGAGGGAGGTGACGCAGGTGCTGGCGTGTGTGGCGCAGGCCACTCACCCACTCATACCGCCTGACGAGGTGCGCCCGTACAACACACACACATACACACACTCATCTGCTTGCATGCGTGTGTGTCATCTATCCATTCATTCATCCATTCGCCAGCTGCATCCGCTGAGCAAGTGTCTGATGAACACGTTCGTGTCCGAAAACAACAGCTCACAGGTCATCGCCGTCGGCCTCAACGCGGTAAGGAACAGCACACGGCCCACTCACATCCAAACAGACACACAAACACCCATGTGTGTGTGTGCGTGTGTGTGTGCAGATCCGCGAGGTGTGTGCCCGTGCCCCGCTGGCGCTTGACGCCGACATGCTCGCCGATCTGTGCGAATTCCGCACATACAAAGACAAAGGTACCCATATACACAGAGAGAGAGAGAGGGAGGCAGCCACATGTGTGTAATGCGTGTGTGGGTGTAGGTGTGATGATGGCGGCGAAGGGTCTGATCAACCAGTATCGCGACACGTACCCCTCCCTGCTGCCGAAAGCCATGCGCGGCAAAGAGGGAACCATGGCCGTCATCGCACACAAGGTACGTACCTTCACCCACCAGACACCCACCACACACGCGCACAACCCTCCATCCCTCTTCGTGTGTCTTGTGTGTGCCATCAGGACAATCGTCCCCAGTACGGCCAGTCGACGGCCGCCACTCAGGTGGAGGGCATCGACCTGCTCGCCAAGAAGGCGCAGCAGCATGAACAAGAACAGCCCGAAGATGATGAGCAGGAACAAGACGAAGACGACGAGCAAGGAGACGGCCAGCAGCCAGACGAGGACAGCGACCTCGACATCGATGAGGACGACCTGGACGAGCTGCTAGACGATGACAGCGATGCTGATGAGGGCGAGGACGACCTGCAGGAAGAGGGCGAGCCGCGTGGCAAGGGCACCAAGCGCAAGAGACCAGACGATGAGCAGCAAAGTACCGACACCACCAGCGCCGCCATGTTTGATCGCGTCCTCGGCCAAGAGGACTTCGCAAAGATCCGCAGGCAAGCACAAACACACATACAGGCACCCCACCATAGTGTCATTTGTGTGTCCATTGCTGCATTCGTTAGGTTGAAGCTCAAGCACGACGCCGAGGTGGCCATGGGCGGCAAAGGCAAGAAGCCGTTATCGTCACAAAGGGCCGGTGGTGACGAGTGGGAGACCGACAGCGACGCTGAGAGCGATGCGAGCGGGTCGGAGGACGAGAAGAGCGACGACCAGGAGGTGAGAATGACGCCACATACACACACACAAATGCAGAATGATGTGGTGGTGCAGGCTGACACCGATCGAGTGAATCCCGACGACCTGCGGGGCGTGAGCAAGAAGAAGCGGACTCGAGCAGAGAAGCTCGCCAGTGTGCTCAAGGGACGCGCTGACAAGAAGAAGAACAAAGGTCCCCTCCCAACACACAGACGGGAGAGCAATCCATCCATCGCCGTCTGTGACGGGAGAGCAATCCATCCATCCCCGTCTGTGTGCACCGATGCAGGCAAGAACAAGGGCGCTGGTGATGCAGCGGCAGCGGTGGTGTCGATGCCGAATGCGGTCAAGAGCCGCAACAAGCCCATCATGATGGTGCGCAACAAGCGGGCCCTCCAGGACAAGAGAAAGCAGGATTTGCAGACCAAGGTGGCCGGCCTCCGCAAACACATCAAGAACCTGAGGATGAAGACCGGCGGCAAGGCCAGGAGACGCAAGAAGTAAATGCTTGTGCTTGGTGCTGCATGTGGTGCGAGTGAGAGGCTTTGTGTCGGTGGATTCTTCGTGTGAGCCGTCTGATCTCGATCGCGACGCAATCCGTGGCGTCTCGAGCTAAGACGCCATGGGTTAGGTCGCGATCGGCTGGGTGCACACACGAAGAATGAACGACACACGCAGACAGACAGAGAAGCAATGGATGGATGGACACTGCATTCATGTCGTTGGATGTCAGGAGTTTCTGGTGGGTGTCTCAGCGGTTTTCCTGCTCCGATTGTGTGTTGTGAGTGAACGTCGGGATGTTTTTTGATTGATTATCAAAGTGACGAGGCCTCAGTGGATAAAGATTGACACGCACACACATGAATGTGTCTGCACATGGACACGAACGAGTCATCAGGCCGTCATGCTGTCGGGTCTGAGTCAGTCGCTAGGAAGCTGGCTACACACTGCGGCCATCCATCGAGCTGCAGCAATGCTCCTCCGCCCTCCGTATACACATACCACCTGCAACATACACAGAGAGAGAGAGAGAAGCGTCGGCTTGCCTCCTGTGTGTGATGCTGTGTGCTGCAGTGTTGTGTGGTCTCACCCTCCCTTGGCCGCTGTCTATGAGGGCTGTCAGATCGGTTCAGCCGCTCCTCACCTGCACACAGAACACATACAGCAGTGCCATCCACAGCCAGCCAGCCATGTGTGCCCTCCGTTCCCCTCACACGCCCACCTGCCATATTATATATATATATATTATATATTTCCATCTCATCGCATGTGAAGTCCATGGACTGCGCCAATGTGCCGTGGCCCTGCCCAGTCTGCCGCCCCTTGTATCCCTCAGGCAAATGGTCTTTGTCGATCCACTGCTGGCAGCGGCTGAGGTCGGCCGCCGGACCAGGCCGAGCAAAGCCCAGCCAGAGATAACCGTAGCCGATGCACAGATTCCCATGCGGCTCGCCCTTGTTGTCCGTCACCGCCCCCTGTGTGCCGGCCACCTCCACCTGCTGCATGTCCTTGGGTATCTCGATCTTGGTCGGCGCATCGTACGCACCCGACAGCGCGTAGAGGAAGACCGGAACCTTGTAGAGGTTGGTCTGTGTGGGGTCAGCAGGTGGTGTGATCTGGCCGTCCATGAAGGCCCCGAATCGGTGAGTGTCGCCGTCTCGGAGGGCGAAGAGCAGGCCGCTCTTGCCGGTCACCTTGTTGAGGAAGGAGGGGTACCCGAACGTGTCACGACTCGACCTGATTGACACACAGAAGGACAGTGTGGTCTCGTCCTGTCAGCTGCCTTGGCGTGTGAGTGCTGCATCTCACTTGTACAGCAGCGATGGCGCCACGGCGATTTTCTTGTCCGTCATCTTCATCACCGCCAGCCACTCGTCGGCCGTCTTGATCACAGCGGACGCCCCCGCCGCCCCACCGACAGGCGGCACCGTGTTGAGGCCGTACATTCCCAGCTCGACGCCAAAGTGGCCTTCTCGTGCGGCGCCACCACCGGCGAATGGACAAAGCGGCCGGCCAGCATCACGGACAAACGGCGAGCAAAGTCGACAATGAGCTGCTGAAACCGGAGCGACGTCTGGCGCGCCTCCTGGTCGGGCCACTCATCGCTGAAGAAACACACGCACACACACCCCACACACACAGGCACATGGGACACCACAGAAGATCCCCAGCCTTACGATCCTTACGGATTGTATCGCTTGACGAGGGCATGGTTTGGTCCGAAGTAGGCCAGACTGCGACGCAGGATCGACACCTGCTCGTTCTCCACCGTGAGTGTCATCACCTCGGTATCCTCATCGCTGCTATCCCCCTTGACGAACGACCGCATCGCCGCCAGGAAGGCCTCCATGCCCTCCTTCTGCTTCTGCAGCTCGGCAAGGGCGCGGCGGTAGCTGTTCATGTACTCCTCGATCTTCTCAAACGCATCCTCGGCCGACGGCTCATTCGCACGCCCCCCCTCACCCTGCCCCTCCTCGCTGCTATCGCCCTTCTGTCCGCCCTCAACCCCACTACTGCCCTCCTTATCGGCCATGTCGACATCCGCCTCGTCGCCGCCCTTCTCGCCTTCCTCTTCCTCGACCACATGCTGCATGAACAGCGGGTGGTACTCGGCATAAGAGGGGTCGTCGGCCTCCGGTGAATGGATGGCAATCTCGTCCAGGTGAGGGCTCTCGAGCAGCGCCAGCTGGTCACGCAGCCAGCGGAAATACGCCGGGTGCATCTCGAGGAATGGCAAGTTGTTCTCGTCCTTTGGCAGCTGGTCGGTGAAGTGCAGCAGCAGCGTCGAGAGGTAAGTCATCTTCATCTTGGGATGAAGCAGTCGCTGAACTGAGATGAAGAAGACCGTGCCGCCCACGTTGAGCTGCAGCTGGCCGCTGGTCTTGTGCGGCTCCACCGTGCCGCCATTGGCGGTGAAGAGCTGCTTGATCTCCTCCGCCAGTCGTTCGATTTCGTCGTCTGCCCGGCTCCTTGCTGTCTCAGTGGCCGCTGCCAGCTCATCGAGCGATGTTGAGGCCTGTCGAATCGCCGAATCGCCCTCCTGCCGCCCAATGGTCACGCCGTGCAGCCGGGATGGAGCCGGCAACTCATCATCGGCTGCTCTGCCGTTCTGATTCTTTCGCTTCTTGGAACCACCAGCAGCTGCTGCAGCGGCCGACATCGCTAATCAAACGCTAATGCGCTAATGCTCCCGGAGTTGCGAGCTTTGAGTGGATCGCCGCAACGCTGAGGCAAAGGGCGTTTCCGTGATGTTTGCGAAGAAGCGCAAGGCGGAGGAGCCGCCCGAGTCGCCTGCGGACGACAGCGATGAGTTTGAGCCGCTCCCGTTCATCGGGAGGGCATCAGTCGACGCGCTGTTGAAGGAGGCCGACGAGGCACTCGCCGCCATCGAGCAGTCAGCCAAACAGATGCGCAAGAAGCTGCGGCAGCAAGCCAAGACGATCAAGGACCTGATCACGAGCAGCGGAGGACAGCCGAGTGTGACGGGCCCGTTGAGTGAGGAGATTGAGGTCAATGTGGGCGGGACGGTGCTGTGTGTGCCTCGCAAGCCGCTGCTGCTGCCCGGCGTGAGTGAGAGCATCATCGCCTACCTGCTGCTGTACCACCTGGATGGGCTGCCCAAGGACACAGAGGGCCGCCCATTCCTGGATGCCGACCCAATCTACTTTGACTGGTGAGCCAAGCAACACGCACACAGACAGGGAGGGCTTGCAAACTCACAAACAATGCTGCCTGGCGTATCTGTTGACGTCAGGCTGTTTGACGAGATCGCCGGTGTCGGTGCTGCTGATGCGGAGGCCGAGAGCCACGAGATCAAGCTGACGGGTGACCACAGCACCGACGTGTCGTCCCTCTTTTGGCACGAGCTCCTCTTCAACACCAAGACCGGCCTGGACATCGACATGCCCATAGACGCAGCGCCGCAAGACGACGATGACGAAATGCAACTGGACGACCAACAGCAGCAGTCCAGCCAGCAGCAGAGGGAGGCGGCAGGAGAGCAAGATGAGGATGAGGCTGCCGACCACATGGCGGGACTCGACACCGGCATCGCACGGACGGAGGCGTCACTGCGGTGCCTCGATGCGTCAGTGGGGCGGCTGGGCGAGGTGCAGCGGGGCCTGCTCAACTTCCACAAGCTTGTCAAGCCGCTGCTAGCGATGGGGGCGACTGACGAGGGAGGGGAGGGCGATCAGATAAGGAGCGTGCGCGTCCTGGGCAAGACCATATCGACCACCGAGGCCACACTGGCGCGTGTCGGCCGCGACAAACGGCTCTACACGACGTTCCACAGGTGGGTCACACAACACCAAACAGATGGGCGGGAGAGGCACAATCCTCATGCCTGTGTCCTTCTGTTGTGTCTGCAGCGATTCGAGTGTGTCGTGCATCCGCCCCAACCATCTCATGAAGGTCATCGACTTCTCCCGCAGACAGCGCATCGCACCGCCCGGCACTTTGGTGAGCCCGCCTACATCGAGCGACGACAGGCAGATGCAGGCCGACACTGAGATGTATGGGCTGAAGTACGAGCCCTTCTTCAGCGGCGTGGCTGGGGGCGACTTGGTCATCGAGACGGACGACGAGATGGCGGAGCTGCTCAACATGACGGGCAAGACCTCACCAATGCCGTTACTCGTATACAATTCAGCGAGCCACACACACACAGACAGCAGCGAGGGGGCCCTGAAAGATCTGCCTTCGGGTGTGTCTGTTCTGTGTGTGTTGTGTGTCGTCCCTCAGGGGTAGTCGCGACATGTATGCCTTCCCCAAGATGCTCGAGTGCGTGGCCGGCAAGAGCGGCCTCCTCTTCGCCCTCCAAGACGGCCATACACACCGATTCGGCTGCTTCATCGATGGCCCCATACAGACCAACGGCCCCTACGACGTGCCCGTCTTCTTCTTTTCGCTGTCGGGTGCGTACGAGACGCCGACCAAGATCGAGATACCGGAGAGGGACCAGTGGGTGGAGGTGGCCGGCACACATGGGGTGGTGGAGGACTACGATGGCGAGTCGCGTGCCGATATGTGCATCGGCTATGGTCGGCTTTGGCTTGGCTTTGCTCGGCGGCCTGGTCCGGCGGCCGACCTCAGCCGCTGCCATCAGTGGATCGGCAGGGATGAGCTGTCGGAGGGATACGCGGGGGAGAGGTATGACGGCGATGGCACGTTGGCGCAGTCCGGGGACTTCGCGTGCGATGAGATGGAAATCTGGCAGGTGAGTGCACACCCACTCATCTGTGTGGATGTGTCGATCCGCGTGTCTGTGGCTGGCTGGATGTGCAGATTTCCATCGGCTGATGTTGTCTAACGTCGACGACACCATGCGAGCGGGCAGCAGGTATGTTGCAAAACAGCGAGGCGCTTGATAATGAAAACGATGCGTTTCGCTCTTGTCTCTGTCTGTGTTGCTGTGGTGCAGGTGGTGGATGTGTTGACGGATTGCAGAGAGCAGAGGCTGAACCGCTCTCTCACAGATGCCATATGCCATTTTTCGACGGACTGACGGTACCTGTCTGCATGTCTATGTGCGTGAGATGTGGGCATTCGATCATTCATCTCATGACGAGAGTGTCTGCATCGACCCATGATGAATGTGCAGCCATCCAACCAGCCAGCCATCAATCATCCACACGAATCAGTCAGAAGTTATCCCGAAAGGCCTCTGCCTCCGACTTGTGCCTGTCGGCGTCGTGAGTCGCCGATGGCCCACAATCTGTGGCCGCAGCGTGCTGCTCTGTTGTTCTGAGCACCTGTCTGCAGCTGCGTGGGCTTAACCTTGTCTTTCCGCCGCTTTATGGAGGCAGCTTATTGAATGGGAGACGCACTGAAGCGCGCGGAAAAGAGCCCCCAGGAGAGCTTCGGGCCGGCGCCATTTTCGCTCTCTTCTCGCCGCAATGGGCCGTCTGGGAGTCCCTTCTCTCGCCCTGTCTGCTCTCGTCATCGTCAGCTGCAAGGCAGTGACCATCGAAGAGACGTGAGACGCTCACAGAAGACCCCAGTGTCACTGCAAAGCTCATGTCATGATTGTAGCGCATGTGTGTATGTGCAATGCCATGTACGCATGCAGCTCGGGCGCCTCGTCGGGTTTCTTCAATGTCACTGCTGACGAGCCGGTCTGCTGCCTGCACAGCAAAAAGATGACGGTGGGTATGGCCATGCATGCATGCAATGATGGAGGCAGAGGACAGAGCGAGGCACCATTGGCGAGGCATTTGTGTACGGCTGTCTCCTCCTTCCTCTGCAGCTCCAGGAGCTCTACGACGACGCCTATCAAACCGCAGCCGTGTACGCACATATCTCACATGAATCACTGACAAACGTGACAAACCGCATGTGCTCATTCTTTCGCAGTTTGGTTCAGGACGACCGGAAGACCGGCCGTATCACTGCCTTCGGGAGCCGAGCGATGGTCTTCGCATCTGCAGTGAGCAGGACACGTGTGAGAACATAGACACACGAGGGCACGCGTGTTTGTGTGTTTAGAAAGCCGCGGTGGCTGCGGCGCTGCTGAACACGGCTGAGGCGTACGAGGATGTTGCTGAGGTGACGACACGTTTTGTATGTCTCTGCCGCGTGATGCGGTCGTATCTTTGGTCTGTGTCCCTCCAGTTGTGTGAGCTTGTGGATGACCTCTACGCCAGAGGATGGTTTGTCACCCAATTCAACGGCCTCAATCCCTTTTACCCGCAGGCGTAGAGAAGGGGTGGCATACACTGATTCTCGTCCGTCGACTCATGTGTATGTCAGGTTCAGCCAATACTATAAGGGCCATGTTCATTGGGGTGACACGACTCACTACCTTCGCGCATATGCGAGGTGGGCAGCTGAGACGGCCAACAAAGCCAAGGGAGTGGTGCTCAGCAAGAAAGGCAAAGACACCAGCAAGGCCAAGAACGCGATCGAGAAAGCGCAGGCCAAGGCTCTGGAGGCTGCCGTCAACCTCTTCAATCGGGTTTGTCACTTCATTGTCCTTTCCGGGCGTTGCGTATGGATAAAAGGGTGTGTCTCTTGAGTGTCTCTGTGCGTGTGTGTGTTTAGGCCGTGAAAGTCCGCAATTTGCAGGATAATCTTGTGGAGAAGATCGGAGACTTGGCATTTTCCATTGATGGAGGCATATACAAGGTAAGACTAGATCCACAGCGCCGAACCGGATGTCTCTCTCTCCCCCTTCCTACGATTTACTGGCTCCTCACATGTATTCTGTCGCCAGTGGAGCGAGGAATACGCTCATCTGCTGCACCCCAAACGAGTCTTCGTGCCCAAAGACAAGCTCCCTGAGCCGGACAAACCCATCCTGGAAATCAAAGCAAAGGACTACTTGCAAACCACCAAAGTCGAGGATTTCATCCAAACCAACGCACCCAAGGCGGCCACTACGGTGACAGGCCCTCATCGCATGACTGCAGAGGCACTTTGCTTGTCACATCTACCGGCCGGCCACTTTCTGCTGAAGGCCTATGAAGGGGCATGCGAGGCGTTCAACATCCTGGACGAGCCAAGCCATGTAAGAGGACGTACCGACTCAATATTGCGTTCGCTCTTTGCCTCCCATGTTTTTCATTTGCGCACGTGTGTGTCGGCAGGATGATGTGGCTGCTCTGCGAAAGTTGCCCTACCGCGTGCCCGAGGACATGTCTCCAAGCACCAACTTTATCTGCCGCGAGAAGGACGTCGAGAAGGGGAGCAAGAAGGGCCGCGGCGGGGCTGCCTGCAACCTTCTCGGGGCCTGTTTGATGTGTACGGGAGCTGTTCTTCAACTGTTTTTTCATTAGCGCACCCTGGCCATCCGTTGAGGAGGGAATTCATGGGAGTGGTTTGTTCTTCCTTACTTTCTGTCTGCCTGCCTGCCTGCCTGCCTGCCTGACGGGCTGTGAGTGTAGGAGTTGGCGGTGTTGCCTGCCTGCACTCCAACCACTCCCGCATGTCCTCCTGACTCACTCACTCACTCACTCACCATCTTGCTGGCTGTCTGACGGGAGCAGGAGAGACACGAGACACTCTTTCTTTTGCGATGCGAAGACTCTTTACTTTTGTCGTGCGATGGACCACCAATGGGCTCATGAACGAGCACATGTGTGTATTGCTCCCCCTGTGGCCGAACGTGAAAGTGCCTCTTCTTTCGACGAGAGACACGAACGTCCATCACAGGTTGTCCAACGGCGCATGGCAGAGGCCAGCTGGTTGTGTCGTCCATCGACTCACTGATTCGTCGGCGGTGTGGTGTGTCTGACGTGCGTGCAATGGTTAATCTGTACACACACACAGATGAAGTGTCCACCGACATATGTCCATCCATCCATCCATAAACTCATTGACGCACCAGCTACAGCCCCCCTCTCACCCTCATCCGGTCCAACTGGGGCACACCCATCCATCGGTAATACACACACTACACACATGCCCTCCTCCCCAACTCACTGGCCCGTGTTAGCCACACGCACGTCACGTCAGCTCGCCTAGCCCACCTGCACGCTGCACACAACACAATATACACACCCAACAGAGAGGGATGGATGAGGGAGTACACTCATCCCACCCACCTTCATTGCTAAGTTGTCTCTTTCTGGTAGATGAGCATGTCTGCGATGGTGTTGGTCAGCAGGCCGCGCACCAAAGGGGCGGTAGTGGGCCGACGGTCCTTCAAGGCATCCGATTCATCACCCACTGGCGGCTCAGTGGTGAAAACACGAACACCCACTGCATTCAGCGAAAGAGCACGCGTCGAAAGGATGGCTCAGTTGTCAGCAGCAGATCTGCTATTCCTTCCTCACCTGTGTTCATGTCGGCACGCCTGCCGAGAACGACGTATGCGACGAAAGGCATGTCGAACGACGTCAGCAGCAGATGCCGACACTCTGCAGGGGGATCTTCATCGTCGAACCTGCTCGCCATGACGGCTGTGCATCCGGAGGGTGGCTGGTGGGGCGACAGGTTCAGCAGGCCGTCCAGCACACCGCCGTGATCATACCTGAAGAAACACACACAGAACAGAAGAAAAATACCCCCACGGATGGATGTGTATGTGTGGTGTGATGTGTAACGGTCCACCGCAACTACAGGAGTTTTGCCCCGATTCGCCAGTGAAGGGTGCCACATGATGATGTCCATGATGAACTCCGACGCGGATGCATGAGTGAGCACATCAGCATCGGCCGTCCAGCTGACCCCCTGCAGGTCGATTGAGGATCTGACGGGCGGGTTGTCGTTGATGATGTGAGGGTGGTATGGGTGGGTGGGGGGGAGGGGAGGGTTGATGGTCAGCTCGAAGCCCGGCTCGTCACGGAGGGCACGCACACCGCCGCCCGGCTGGTCGAACAGCTCAAAACGGCCGTAGTTGCCGCCGAAGTCGACGTGCCGACCGATCATCTTCCACAGCGCCAAAACACGCGGCTCAGCCAAATACGCCTGCAGCAACAGACACACAACACAGCTATTGAGCCATCCATCTCTCCTCGCCTTTCCCCTCCGTCCCGCCCACCTGTTTGGTGGTGTGCCTCTGGATGTCCTCCAAACTCATCGTCACCGGCAGAGTGCAGAAGCCGCGTTGCTCCGCCAACTTCAGCGCGTTGACCACCTCGGTCCACTGCTGCGTGTCCACCAGCCAGATGGCCTTCACCAGCAGGTGGCCGTCCAGCTGAGCGTCGAAAGCGATGATGGCGTGGAGTCCCTTGGCCACGAGGCAGCGATTGAGTCGGGTGCGGAGGACATATGGCGAGAAGTCGACTTCCCAGAGGAAATGCGCTGTGGCCCTGAGGCTGCCGACCTCAAACCGGCTGCACACACAGACATCACACACAGACCCAAGTGTGCTCATCGTCGCATTCCTTGCTCGTGCAGTGCTTGTGCTTCGCATACGTGTGGAGGGCGTCCCTGTCGGCTTTGTGGAGGAAATCGAGCGACTCGTCATTGATGGTGGCGCCAGATCTGTCCGCAGTGTGGTTATTGCCCATCTTCCGCCGACTCGCTCGTGGATGAAATCAGTTACTCGGCTGTCCCATGGGGAGGGGCGGCCCGTTTCTTTCCCTTTTTTTCCTTCTGTCACGATCGCACTTTGAGCTCGCCAAGATTTTGAGGCGGTGAGGACAGTGAGGCGATGGGGAATGATGTGACGGTGCCCAGCAGCCGGCAGCCCATCCCGCCGGCAAGAGGCAACGAGTCGATAGATTTCATCCATCGCGAGGAGCGAGATGCCATCCACGAACACAGGGAGGTCGGCATCCTCAGATGCACAGCGACATTCCTCAGGCAGATAGACTTCTCGGCCGCCGTCCTCCGCACTCGGCTGGGGCGCTCCCTCGCGGCGAAACAGCTCGGCGGCATTATCGCATTTGACACCCAGCTGGAGAGTCCTCTGCTGCTGAAGGCCATCTGGCTGGTGGATACGCAGCAGTGGACCGAGGTGGTCAACGCGCTGAAGTTGGCGGCGCAGCTCGGCCGCTGCACTCTACCGCTCACCATGAGTGCACAGCAGCTCCAGAGGCACACCACCAAACAGGTGGGCGGGACGGACGGCAGAGGCCAGGAGGGATGGCTCGATAGCTGTGTTGTGTGTCTGTTGTTGTAGGCGTATTTGGCTGAGCCGCGTGTTTTGGCGCTGTGGAAGATGATCGGTCGGCACGTCGACCTCGGCGGCAACTACGGCCGTTTTGAGCTGTTCGACCAGCCGGGCGGCGGTGTGCGCGCCCTGCGCGACGAGCCGGGCTTCGAGCTGACCATAACCCCCCCCCTCCCCCCCGCCCACCCATAGCACCCTCACATCATCAACGACAACCCCCCCGTCATGTCGCGAATCGCGCCGCAGGGGGTCAGCTGGACGGCCGGTAGTGAGGTGACTACTCATGCATCAATGTCGGAGTTCATCATGGACGTCATCATGTGGACCCCAGTGGCGAATCGGGGTCAAACTCCTTGGGCTGGGGTGGACCGGTGTGCATGACACCATACACACCCAGACACACAGATCCATGCGAACAGGTATCTGCTCTTTGTGTGGTTCTTTAGGCATGCTCATGGCGGTATGCTGGACGGCCTCCTAAACCACTCGCCCCACCAGCCGCCCAACGGATGCACCGCCGTCGTGGCGGGCAGGGTGGACGATCACGATCCCCCTCTCGAGTGTCGGATTCTGCTGCTGACGTCGTTCGACATGCAATTCGTCGCCTATGTCGCTCTCGGCCGCCGTGTCGACACGAACATAGGTGAGGAAGAAGCAGGTCCTCTGTGCTGATTGAGCCACTCTTTCGGCATGTGCTGTGTCGCTGCATGCAGTGGTTCTGCGTGTTTTCACCACGGAGCCGCCAGTAGGTGGTGCGTCGGATGCCTTCAAGGACCGCCGGCCGACTACCGCCCCTCTGGTGCGCGGCATGCTGAGCAACAGCATCGCAGACATGGCGCTCAGCAAACAGGAAGAGGAGGCAGACGATGAGGGTCGGTGAGCACGTCGGTGAGCAGCCGGCCATCGCGTCTCTGTGTGTCGGGTGAATCGAGATGTGTGTGTGTGTGTGTGTGTTGTGCAGAGGACGGCGCGGACGGTGATGGTGACGATGACGGTGTTAGCGATGAGGGTGAGAGGTGGGGATACGTGTGGGGATGTGTGTGTATGTCGTTGGGCTCATTCGTATGTCTGCGTGATGTGTGTGTATCTGTACAGATCTGGATGGCAATGGCGATGTCGATCGCGACGATGACCAACAGCAGGAGAAGGAGGAGGAAGACGGTGAGATGGGCGGAGGAAAAGAGCCAGATCAGCATGACACTCACGCAATCACTGTGTGTCTTATGGATGGATGGACATGAATGCGTCAGATGAGGGTGTGGAGGAGAGGGAGGCTAAGAGAAGGAGGACCGCAGGATGATCGAGGGGACACACGCGCCGTCGGGGTGTCGTGTGGGAGGTGCACTGATTGAGGATGGACAGGAGGAGAAGAGCAGTCGTATGGACAGACAGCCAGCAGCCCCCTGTGACGCATCCATGCAGTTTTGACACACATCGTACGATGGCATTGATGTGTCCACGTGTGTGACGAACCTTTTTTGTGTGTGCATACGGTTTGATTGGTGCATGGTGGAACGGCTTTCCGTTTTGGTTTCTGTGTCCACATCAGATCGGTGTGAATGACTGGACGGGTTCAGACAGCCATTGACCTGATCCATGGGTGGACAGCATACATCAATCACGTGTGTGCGTATATTGCCTGTCGGCAATGAACTCTCCGTCTGTCCCGACTAAACCACTCACACTCACCCACGGCCATCGTTTCTTCTGCAGAGGTCACCGACATACTCACCCGACCGATATCGATCGCATCGACAGAGAGCGGTCATATACAAATGCGTATATATATGTGTGTGTGCAGACAGACAGACATCGGTATACATATGGGCACTCATATGGATCGACCGATCGATCGACACAAAACAGAACCACACCAGCGCAACGATGACCTGTCTGACCATGGCCATGGCTCCTCCCCTCAACCAAGCCACCAAAACACTCTTAGATGCAGTCGTGTCTGTCTTGTCTGAGCATGTGCCTCCGTCGTGAGACGCACGTCGATGCTCATCGTGCTGGGCGGCTGTTCGTGTATCTGTCGCAGAGGCGTGACCTC